AACATGTCACTAAAGATACATTTTTTGCACTCTCATCTAGATTTTTTCCCACCGAACTGTGGAGTAGTGAGCGACGAGCACGGCGAGTGATTTCATCAGGACATTGCAACAATGGGGAAACGCTATCAGGGCAAATGGAGCCCATCAATGCTTGCAGACTATTGCTGGACAGTGACAAGAGATGCTCCATTAATGAATAGAAAAGAGACAAGCCAAGAAGCGCTGAGTAGACACTGAATAGGACTAAACTATGTACATAATAGTTTTTCGCCTTTTGTTTCACAATAAATGTTATTTATATAACCCTTTTGCTGATTTTTAAAGTGTTACATAAACAGGACAGGTGAAATATTATCATGTAAAGCAACCATAAACACATGAAAAGACCTAGGTTTACAATTTATGATTAAAACTCTACTATCTACACAGTATACATAGACATAAAATGTAAAAACTTAAATATCTTAGAAACAGTAGCCAGTTGTTTTAATTGTCATATTTGAATTCAGCACATCAAAATACATAATAAATAGCACATTTTATCGCTGCAGCAGACTACTTCTCAAAAATTGTAGACCAGTGTTATACCTATTAGCAAAATTATATCAGAATACCTATTGAAGAATACATAGAATACTTGTTATGGGAAATTTTCCCCTTTGTAGACCAGTCCTAACTTCAACTATCAGTTGCAAGATAGGGGCCCAAATACTATGTCTCATGCTCCCCCTGCTGTCCTGCACATTCACAAGATGGAGAAAATCAGATTGCAGGTATTTTATTCCCTAATTTGAAAGCTCTCAATAATGCAGGACCATTTTAAACTGCTGTCAAAATATGACAGTTTAAATTAGGAAGAAATGTTTTAAGAGATTCAGTAATTTGTAACAGAACAAAGAAGTAGAGTTTTTAGTTTTACCGCAATTAATCCAAAAAGAATATCTCCAGAAAGATGAATATCAATTGGCTATCTGTCTCAGTTACCAGTACCTTCCAGGCCAGGGTCCAAAACATGGATCCAAAGACACAGTTCTCTTTGCTCTCTTGGGCCAGGTGTACTCTATAAACTTACATCAATATAACTATGTGGCTCAGGGGTGTGAAAAATCCACACCCCTGAGCGACAGTAATTCCAACCTAACTCCCAGTGTAGCCAGCGCTATGTCGCCAGGAGGGCTTCTCCTGTTGACATAGCTACCACCTCTCCTGGAGGTGGATGAACTATGCTGACAGAAGCTTTCCCGTGGGTGTAGTAGTGTCCTAAATGAAATGCAACTGTGCTGCCACAGTGTTTTAAGTGTAGACCTGCTCCCAGTGATGGATCACCAAAGTGTCTTTTTGCTTCACTTTTTATTTCCCCAGAATTTACTGTATTTGTTTCCCGATTAACTCTTGGGGTTCAGACTCCAGTGTCCTCGTATGCTGATTTTACATGCCCCCAGTCAATCTAGCTTTTCCTGATGAGGTACATGCAAATGGGGCTCTCTTTGTGTTGGTTCCACAATGCTTAATTTACTTTAGAGACAAGGAGATAAATTCCTTCCCTCCTGTGTGGAAGAAAACCTGCTTCTCCCTTTGTTTGACTACAGACTTTAAAGTATATCATCAGCAAGTATCAATTCTCCATATAGTGTTAATACATACATATCACAATTATATTAATGACTAGTGGGCTACTGGCTTTCATTCAATACCTTACAAGACATTTTAATATGTAAATACGAGGATAGCAACGTGTTAGATGTAGGTGTTTGTCAGACCTGATAGGAGTTATTGTTACATGACAGTGAACCCTTTGCCAGTTGGCACTAAGAGGATCTTAGGGTCACTGAATGACAGCACCCTTTCTCTTCTCAGCAGCCTCAAGGGAGAAAGTCTGTGCTTTCCATTAGGACATTACCCAGAACATCGGTGATGGCACCCTAATCTTTTGTTAATCTTAATCAGGCTAGCTCCATTTAAGGGCAGCATTTCAATCTGCCGGAAGCCAAAGGGATGCATGTAGTTTTTAAAAACTGAAAGAAACTGTTGAACCTGCTCTTACTTTTAAGGAAAAGGGAACAGCCAACAAAATTACAGTCCATCAGATCAAACATCACTCTGAGCTACGCAGAAGGGCTAGTACTCATTGCTGTTGGTTACAGCTACTTGGATCAGGAAGGGGCACAGCCCAATGGAACCCCTGGAGCCAGACAACTGCAGCCCATGAGACAACAACTCCACCTGCCACATCTCAATCCCAGTGGTGTCAACATGAAAATGTAACATGAAGTTTACACTATCCTGTGTCCACCCAATCCAGGTGACAGAGGCAGGACTTGGACCAAACATTTCTAGAGGCTTATAAATAGGTCACTACCAAATTCACAGCCATGAAAAATGTGTCACAGATTGTGAAATCTGATCTCCCCCCGTGAAAGCTGCCAAGGAGAGGCTGGGCTGGGGGTGCCCCACCAGTGGCGCCTACCATGCACTGGGCTCCAGCTGCTAGTGGAGGCTGCCATAAGGCCAGCCCTGCCCCCCAAAAGTGATGATGCACCCCCCTATACCATGCAGCCCTCATGTCTGCACAGCCCATTGCTCTCCAGCTGCCCTGTTCTGAATGCAGCACCTCTGTCACCAACAGCGCAAAATAATGGTGACAATACCATGACCCCCCCTACATTAGCCTTGCATCCCCTCCCCCGCCCTCTTTTGCGTCTGGACCCCCATGGTTACAACACTGTGAAATTTCAGGTGTAAATATCTGAAACCCTGAAACTGACTATGCTTAAAAGCCTATGATAATGAAATTGACCAAAACGGACCATGAATTTGATAAGGCCACTACTTAACACTCTGGGCACCATGGGCCACACTGCAGAGCTACCGAGGCCTCCTCTGACTGGTATTGGCCAGGTTTTGAGGGGCCACAATATACCTGATCCCAGGGCTCCCCTGAAATGGGAGATGAGCTAAAAGCCCAAGAAACAACTCGCCCCAGCCTGGGACCCCCCCATCACTCTCCCTCCATCCATCCATGCGCAGCCCGGGACCCGCCCCGCAACGCTCTCCCTACGCCCCTCATCGGGGAGCCGCACCCCCCTGCCAGAGGCCCCCGGGTTCTGAGCCCCAGGAGGGAGCAGCCGGGAAACCGCCGGCGAGGGCCACGTGCGGGGGGAGAGGCGCCGCGTGCAGACTCACCTCATTGTTGAGGTTCAGCACCTGCGCCATGGCGGCCCCACTACACCGCAACAGCCCACGCGAGCCAGTAGCCCCCGTGGCGAGGGGAAGCACGGCCCCACGGCTCACACTCTTTTCAAAGACAAGCACGAAACGAAACTGCGCGCGTGCGCACTGCTCTCGGCGTTGCGGAGACGCTCTAGGTGGCGTCTCGATGGTGAGGGCCAGTCTAGGCACCGGCGGCATCTCGCTGGCCCGAGCGGACTTGATTGAACCACGGCCACCACGGGGCAGAGCTGGAGGAAGTTGTGCTGGGTTCGCTGCGCGGCGGCCCGGGGGGAGAGACTTTTCCTTTGTTTTTCAGTGATTTCAGCTTATGGCTGTGTCAGGACTTTTTATACATTGAATAACGGAGCTTTGTGATCGAGCTCAGAGCCGGCAAGGAGCCCCCAAGCACGCATGGGAGGGGAGGGCTCTGTGTCCAGATCCTGCACACAGACACCCTCTCACAGCATCTAGCCCGTGCTATTAGGTCTTTCCCACGGAGTGGGTTACAGACAGGTTGCTGTCATTGTAAGGCGAACATATAGCACTAATAAAAAAGTAATAAGAGCATAACATGCAGAGTGGCAAGTTTCTGAGCAATTGTTCACTCTAACCCTGTAAAACAAATATACCTTCCTCTAGATTCACTGGATCTAGCCCTTGCTGCATTTTATATAATAAACAAATTACATGTCTAACAAGTTTTTAAAAATGACAAAATTATAAACAGAATTAATCGGGGAGCCACCCAGTCACCCCATGTGTCTGAGTTTCATTATGCCCCACAGGGTTTGAAATTTTGTTACCAGCCATGGAATTGAAAATTTAAGCTTTTACCTAGTCTATAGTATTTTCAGATACTACATCCCTCGAAATCTGAAAGAAATTTGGTACCCTGGGGAAATGAATTTGAATAAAGGAAGAGTTACTTTTTGTTTTAATTCAAATGTAAGGAGACTTGGCTCACTGCAAAGTAGCTGTGAGCACAGTTTGAAATTCAGGTAATTGAAACTACACAAGACATCTAAACAATGTTAATAACAGAGCAATATATTTATTCCCCATTCTCTTATAAATAAAAAAAAGTTGAACACATTGTTTTAAAATTGTGCAGAGATCAAACATGGGAGGTTTCAACCTAAAAGGAGAAAGTTATGAGCGAGTGAAAGTAAGTAGTTTCAGTGTACAGTATTTTAGTGATACTACTCACATGCTTAAAGTTAAGCACATGCATAAGTCTTTTTAGAATTGGAGCCTAAAAAAGAAATGAAAAAACACAGCTGCAATATGGAAGATAAATGCTGGTAGTGAGACAATCTTCTCAATAAATGCAGTCACTAATAGAAATCTATGCTTCAGACAGCAGTCTTATTAAGTCTTTCCCACAGAGTGGATTACATCCACATTTTGATTGTAGTTGCTGCCATTGTAAGGCTAACATATAGCAATAATAAAAAAGTAATAAGAGCATAACACGCAGAGTGATAAGTTTCTTGGCAACTGTTTAATCTAATCCCTGTAAAAAAATAACTTCCTCTAGACCCAAGCTAATTAAAGTACCACTTTTATTGGAAAGCAGAATATGGGATGTACAGTAATTAAGCTATGTAAGGCCTCAACCCTGTAAAGATTTACATACATGTTTAATGTTATGCACTGTGAATAGTTTCAATGAAGTCAAGTTAAGCACATGTGTTGTATAAGTATTTTCAGGATTGAGGCTTAAACTGTTTATCAAGGTTTCATCAAAAGATAGTTTTTCCTTTACTTCAGATTTATTATGCTAAGTGAATTGCCATATGATTTTTAAATGCAATCATCTTAAACCACTTTATATATTTCTGATGTTATTCCAGTATGTTACAGGTTTCACAGCCACAATTGAAAATCAAAGTTATTGTTTTAGATTTCTACACTTTAAGCTGTTGCACTATTCAGATTATGTAAAATCAGATATGAATACACTTGAAGAAATAATTCCAAATATAATCACAGCAGAAATTATTGTTTATACATATATTATCAGTTCTAGGCAATTATTTTGATTACACACCATTAATTAACTGGCCCCTGGATGGCACTGTTGCTCTAAGAATTCTTTGACTTTGAAGACTGACTAATAAGGAAGGAAATCTAAACTGAGTTCAGATACCTCTATAATACATACACTTCAGGATCTAACATTAGATCTACGTATGTTTTGATGTTTGGCTGCTAACTACCTTCTAAGTGAACTGCAGATGTACTACCTTAGGCTTGCTGTGAATGTCTTACAAACTCAGCAGAGGATGGCAAGCCAGTACTCGGATGGAAAACCTCCAACTTGAATTCAAGATGCTGCAAGACGTAGTATTAGTGGTTCAGTAGCTCTCTCTTCCATCTGTATCAATACCAACTGTAGTAGAGGAGAGGCAGAATCTGTTGTGAGGAGGGGAAAATTGGACAAATATTGACATGATTTAATATTATATTGCAATATAGGTGGCCCCAGGGAATTTGCACTATGCCAAATTCACAAATCCAAACACAAAAATCAGAAGTGAAAAAGATAAGGAGTCTCATTTACATGAGGGTCTCTTTACACTGCTGTAGCATTTTAAAGAGATCTTAAAGCAGGTGAAAATTACATTTGCACCCATTTTAAGGTCCCTTTACACAGTGTGTAAGTGAGAATCAAGCCCCTAATTTCTACAGCAACATCAGGTTGGCAGCTGTCATGGTTACAGGACTAACTGCAACTCTGACCCCTTTCTGGTCTCTGTGTGTACCCATTTCAAGTCATAGTATGACATTCCAGCCCAAAACAAGTAAGGGTAAGCAAGCTTTTGTATTCCCTTTGCTGAACACATACACTTTTTTCCTCACAAAAGTCTACAAATTGTCATCTTGATCAGCAGAGTTCCTCAGTTTTCACTTTGCAAGCAGACTTTTGATCTGAATGCTCAGGACTATGAAGAGCTTTAAAACTAAAAACTAAAATGTTAAAATACAGAACATTTTCAAATGCTTCTGGTCACCAATACAAAGGACAGAAATATGTTGATCTGTGTGGTGGGGCGATTACCCCACACCCAGAGAGACTGGGCTGCGGCAGGCCTAGGCGCCTGCGTAGACGCGCGGCCAATCAGGAGAGGGCTTACTGGGAGCCAATCAGAAGGCAGATTGGAGCCAGCCAATCAGGGCCCAGCTTAGCCATATAAAAGGCTGCCCAGAGCAGGAACAGTCAGTCTGTCCCAGGCCTTCAGAGGGGAAGGTCTGTCTCCAGAGCTGGGAGGCCAGCACCATGGACAGCGCAGTGCAGGCCAGCCTGAGAGAGTGGGAGAAGGCCCTACTCCATAGCCTGCTAGGTGGCAGGCCTGGGAGGAGGAGGCCTAGCGTAGCGAAGGGCTGTTGGGGAAGCAGTCCAGAGGGATAGTCAGAGGAGGAAGGAGAAGGAAGACAGTGAGACTGTTGCCTGAGGGCCTCTGGACTGGGACTCAGAGTACTGGGTGGGCCTGAGTGTCCCCCTTTTCTCCCCTTTGTTTGCAGTGCTACCCCGTGCACAGCCACAGGCCGCAGGGAGCGGCCGGTCAGAACCACACCAGGTCCTGGACTGCAAGGATTGGACTTGAGTGTGTGGGACTGTTGTTTAAGCCCCCCCCCCTGGAAGGGGGTGTGAGTGGACAAAGGGACACTGTCGGAGGACAGTGCTCCGGAAGAGGACTCTGTACCTTGACGGCGACGCAAGTCTGCGCACCCAACGTAGGCGGAACGACAGGCGGGACACCACCCGAAGGGGTGCCTTACTGGTTCAAGCCAATTCCCTGAGGCGCCACAGCGGTGAGCTACTACCCTGTCACAATCTGCCTTAGCAAATCTTGCAGCTGCTTGGTAGGAAGCATATTCTATTAATAGATCCAACCGAGAGCCCTATAAAAAGGGAGTTTCAGTATTTCAGATTAGAGGTAATAAAAGCAAAAGCACAGGTTAAGGTCTCTATCTCCTTGAGAGAAAAGTGAGGGCATTTTAATAACATTTCTAAGACAGTAACAAAGAGGCTAGGAAAATGATCTTCACAGCAACACACTGAATAATTAGGAGTGGGGCAAGATTACATCCTTCAAGGCAAGACAGTGTTGTAGTGTTGGGCAGCAACAGACAGGTTTGGGGGTAAAGAGAGAGAGAGATCTTGGAGTCATTGACATAGAGATGGTAGCTGAATTTGTGCTTGCAGGTGAGATTACCCAGAGATAAAGTGTAGCGGAATAAAAGGATACCAAGGATGGAGCTCTGTGGACCCAGACAGAAAGGTGGAGAGGGATGAGGAGAATCCTCTGAAAGTCATGATGGCGTGATTAGAGAAGTAGAAGGAAAATGGGGGGACAGTCATTAAAGCCAAGGGTAACCAAGATGTCATCAAGAAGAGCCTGGTTGATGGTGTCAAAGGTGGCTGACGGCTTGAGGAGAATGAGGATGGAGTAGTGGTTCTGAGCTTTGGCCAGGAATAGGTCATTAGCACTTTAGTGTGATGTTTCAATGAAATGCCAGGAGAAGAAAACAGACTGAAGGGAGATAAGGGTGGTAGTTCATAGGCAAGTGGGGCTGAGGGTGGGGTTTTTTAAGTGGGAGAGTCTAAAGCAGGGTTTTGTTGTGAGGGGAAAGAGCTGGAGGAGAGTGAGGCTAAGGAGCAGGGTAAGGAAGAATAAGAATGGAGGCAAGGGAGAGCAGGGGATGGGAGGGAATCATTGGGGCAAATGGAACGATTGAGGAGCCAGATGGACAAGAAACTTCTGTATCTATGACAGGGCATAACTTTAAAAGTTAAAAAATAAAGCCCATCAGTCATGTAAAAATATAAAACAAAGTATACCAATTTTAGTTTGATTGTACTCCAATTCAAAAGTGATTTTTGTTTCATAACTTGAATTTTGCAGTGTAAATTTCTTGTGTAGGCCAGTTCTAAGTCTCTAGCTGTTATAGCTGTTAAGAAAACCTCAGACATGTGAACGGTGTGTAAGTGAAGTTGCAATATCTGAGTCTGAAACAATAGCCCTAGGAGGTGTAAATTACCCCATACATCTCTTTCGGGGTTAATTGATTGGTAACCAGTGATGATAATCTAAATGTCAACACTTAATTATTTCACTGTGCAAATCTGCAATTCCAC